CTCAATAACTGCGTTGCTTATTTATAAAAAAAAGTTGATATCAGGGAAATGAAAATCACAAAGTAACAGATAATTTTACGGCAGTATCGCTTAAAAGCTCAAATGAAAATTTCATGTTTTTTATTTGTCCTGCATGAAGATTATTTCGAAAACACATGAAAATTGGGACAATTGGGTTTTAAGACAGTATCGGAACAAAATCAACGAAGTTCCAAAATAGCTGACAGTACTTGATCAGATTTCAGTTTAACGCAACAGTAATATTTTCATGACAGAACTTATGTCTTTCGGTAGGGTGAATAATTTTCTTTTCGGTAAGGTATAATAGTTACACTTTTGACCTCAAACGATTTGCACTTACAGATCTTTTTTTCAAAAAAGGATAAAACTTCCTTCAGTCCTACGACATTTACGGTGAACTGTTACTTGCTGTTGTTAGACGAATTAACAATGGATCATCTGCAATCTTATAACTTTTGACCCATTTGCTGTGTTTTTATCTCGATTTTGACGCCTCTTCACCAAGGCTTAACTGTTGTTACTTGGAAGTGTGTTTGACCAATTGATCACCGGCTGACCTCTTTTTAACCGTAGCTCCCAGTCCACGCTGATAATTCTGAGACGCACTAGAAAAATGCATTTTTATCATTAGGTGGCATTTGTGCCGCTTAAATTTCACAGCTCTTTGTCGACATCTTGGGTCGAGAGTTCAGTAGGGACCGGCTGAGTTACATTTTCTTGGTTTTTCTTTTCACAGCTCATCCAGACTTTCTACTTGCGGCTTATTTTTTTTGAAAAATAAAGGATTATAGGAAACTTATATCTGCTTTTTGGTGGAAAGAACGCTTATTTCACCTGTTCTTCACTAAGACTCGTGTCCAACTGCTTGAGTTTGCGCCTCATACAGAAAATTTTAACGAAGTCATGAAGGTTCAACACTCACTGAAGATATCGATTTTCTGAGCTCAAATGGAAAATGTTACTTTACCTTAGAATAATTTTGTAAAATTCGGGGGATTTCATAGTTACCTATTTGGTCATGATATGAACTAATTCATGCGCGCCTGTGAAGGTTGTGTATGATGCTAAAAGCGTAACGCGATGTATTTATACGTGGCGAGTTATACCGCATTGTTAAATTGTTCGAAATTGAATTGAGGCATGCTAATCGACGGCATACTTATTTTTTATTATCATTTACAAACAACTATTCGATACCAATTAAGGGACAGTCAGAACTTTCAGGGCTTTGCCTTGATATACAAGCAGTCATGTTTTTAAGCTAAGTTTATTTTCTTTGATAAAAGGAAGACAAACTCCATTATCGTACAGCTAAAGGGTAAAGGTCTTAAAAGACGTGAACGGCTTCTAGTTTTTGAAGTAGATTTTAATATAAGTTTTTCGAAGTGGAATAAGATATTTACCTATTGATCCAGTTTTATCATACTAGGCCAATTTTAGTTTAAAAAAAAGTGTCAGTCATAAATTATTCGTGAGAGTTTTTTCTGTTTGCTTGTGTTCGTGGCTTGTTTTCCAACTTTATGTTGGTTATGTTTGAGAATATTAATGATTTGATGCGAATGTTTATGCCCTCGAAAGAAAACGTTTAGTTTTTCAAAAACGTTCTTATTTTTTTGTTTTCATTTGTTTTGCAGTGGTCAGAATTTTCTATCGCAAAGCCATCGACAGTTTTGTTCTATTAACTAGGTCATTTGCTTTAGCGCTCTGCTCTTACGGAGTTTTTACAAACTTTTGTTGTCTCACTGATGAGGAGTAATGTACTGGCTAGAGTAGATATCTAAATTCTAAGTGATTTTCGTTTTTCTTTAGAAGTGCACGAAAAACAAGGTTTTGGTTTTGCGTCCTTTTTACCTGCCATAATGTTTTTAGCCGTCAAAGGCGGTCTTTGAAGTGATATGATTTGCAGCAGTAAATTCAAATCAATGCATTTTCGTCAAGGCAGTCGCTCCTTTGAAAATCAATTTCATCAGACCTGTGAAAAATTTCAAAAAATTTAAATTAATTTTTTTCTTTCAAAATTTGAAATTCCTTACCCTGTAGTTGGGTGCTGTCAGAGTACTCTCAGGTGATGCGAACCTCGCCTCTAATTATGACTGCTCAAATCCTTGTAGTTTTCGAGATATGCCTTTTTGCGATTTTTTAAAAAAATTTCAAAAAACTTAAATTAATTTTTCTTCAAAGTTTGAAATTCCCAACCCTGTAGTTGGTACTATCAGAGTACTCTCAGGGGGTTGCGAACCTTGCCTCCAAATATGTCTGCTCATTTTCTGGTATTTTACGAGATATGAAGTTTTGTGATTTTTTTTAAGTTCCAGAAAACACAAACGAAATTTTTTTTTTCAAATTTCGAAATTCCTAACCCTGTAGTTGAGGGCTGTCAGAGTACTCTCACGGGTTGTGAAGCTAGCATCCAATTATAACTCCCCAAATCTTTGTACTTTTCAGAAAACAAAACTTCAATTTTTTTTAAATTTGAAATTCCTAATCCTGTAGCTGGGTGCTAACTGGGTACATATAGGGGTTGCAAATCTTGCCTCCAAAGATGACTGCCCAAATCCTTGTAGTTTTCGAGATATGAGGATTTTTTTCTAATTTTTTTCCACGTTTTCAATTTACTTAAGTTTAGAAAATTTCTCAAAATTTAATTATCCTCACTATGTAATTGGGTGCTGCCAGGGTACTCCCAGGAGTTGTAAATCTTGCCTCCAAATAAGACTACTCAAATATTTGTACTTTTCGAGATTCGACTTTTTCGAGATGACGCAAAATAGGAATTAAAAAAATTTTAAAATATCAAATTACCAGCCATATAATTGGGTGCTGTCAGAGTACACTAAGCCTGCAGATGTGGTTTCCAATGCATGCGGTTTTTCATGAGCTGTCAAGAATTCGAAGCACCGGAGGGGCGTCACACGCTAGTCGATTTTATCCTAAATGGCTTCTGACTGAGTTGTATCAGTTTAGCTGCCTCATAAAAGGTTTGCGTAATTACCCCTTGATAAATTTTGATTCAATACTTAAGAAACCCCGGACAACTGTTTCTTGAGATTTTTCCTATTGTACTTTCATTTGAGATAAACGTATATCAATTTGCGACAATTTGCAATCATTTTTGAACTCAGTGGCTCCTCAAAATTTAAATCCAAATTGTTCCAGAAAATAAAAAAATTGCTGGCATCAATTTACATTTTTCCAAATCTATTTAAATATTTATTTAGTGATTTAAATTTTTCTCATGTCCGTTTTTTTAATAGTTTTTTTTTTGACATTTTTTGGTATTTTTTGCAATCTTGAAAAAAGAAGTCAGGAGCAATTTTTCGGGCATATGTGTTTGCTTCTGAGTTTTTGAAATTGTTTTCTTAAATAAGTGTGTTTGGAACATTCTGTGATCTATTGTGGTATCGTATTAGAAGTTTTTGTTGAAACAAGGGTAGCCGGTTGCTGTGCAATTATCCTAAATATGATACGACGCTATATATGCTACGAGCTTCAATCATAATAAATTAATTCCAGTTTAGGTTCACATTGATCAATTTATTTATATAAATGATCACTTGAAAGACCCGAATCTGGGAGATCGTCATTAGACAAATTCTGGCTGTTTTCAGACGTCTCTGAGCGCAAAAAAGAACAGGTTTTGTTTGGTATGGTGGTCTAATACCACCGTTTTTGTTTTACAATAGTATAGAATGAAAACTTTTTAAGACTGTAGAAAGGAAAACTTATTTAGTTAGAAATTTGAAAAATTAAATTTGTAAGATATAAACATTGGAGAAAACCGATTCTATGAGAAAAATTAGAATACTTAATTAATTAACTCTTCATTTCCTATTGTTGTCGTCTCTAGAAATTTATGGAGTTGTAGAAACTTATGAGCTAATTGTAGAGTTTTCGAGTTCTAATAACAATTGAAAACTTATGGTGTTTTTCAGAGTTGGTCACAAGTTTCTTTAGTCGTTTATGACTATGATGTAATTTGATTAGTTCGTCAGATGTGATTGTTTTGCTGAGAGTCACAGATTCACATTCACCGCGAATAATTTTACAGAGAAGTTTTAAGCGTTCGTGTAAATGAAGCTTTTCAACATTATATATTTGCCTTTTTCCCGCAATTAATATACTGAATCGAACTCTTTTGAAACCTAAGACTCTATTCAATCTGTTGATGGTTAGATCAATCTTGTTAAGGTTTGATTTGGAAGTCGACCCGTATAATAACACGCCATATTGAACAACAGGCTTAACGTATGTTTGGTAAAACTGATTCAGTTGCTGTTTATTTTAAATCTTACGCAGTTGATAAATGATTCCACAGAATTTATTAAGCTTAGTATTAACAATATCAATGTGATCTATGAATTCCAGTTTTTTTATAGAGATACAAACCCAGATATTTGAAAGCGGATTTTTGCCCTATGTCTTTGTTGTTCATTTTAAATGTGTAGTTGTTTTTTTAAATGGGTGTTTTAGTTTTATCTCAGTTCAAAGTCAGTTTGCTTTCGTCCAACCATTCCTTTGCTTTTGTCAATGCATTTTCATGGTTTTTAATTAGTATTGATTTTTCAGTGAGTTTTAATGGCTGCATCATCGGCATAGAGATAGACATTTGTGTTTGCATTGAATTTTAGTATATTTTCATTAAACAGAATGAAAATAGGGGTCCTAGAATTGAGCCTTGCGGAACTCCGTATTTTATTTTTTTGACCTTGCAATTTGATTCTGTTGATGCTTACCAACTGTTTTCGTTCTGATAAATATGAAACTAGAATATCATATGCTGGTCCTCTTATACCGTAATCATACGATTTGTTTAAAAAAGTTCAAAAGAAAATTTGTTTCTTTGATATGGTCTGAAATTCGCGGAAGTAACGTTTCTTTCGAAAATGACTCACAAAGGTTTTTCTCTAAATTGAAGCCTTTTTTTATTTCTTGAAGCTTTTACTTGATGTGTTCCTGAGTATGACCTGTGTTTTCAGACAGTTTGAAACGTGTCTAACTTAGTCGTCAGAGTTTTAACAACAAAGAGACCAAAGCCATCCTCGCAACAACTCAACGCCTCTACCTTCAGTGCAGTAACGAAAGCGAAATAGCAGATCTGGACGATTAACGACTCTTTGCCCGCGAGTTCAAAATTGTTTTCATTTGCTGCTTGACTTTATTCGTGTCACGTGATTGGACTGATTAGTTTTGAAAAGCTATTGACGTTTTAGATCAAACTAGACGAGTAAATTTTAGCACGGCCAACTTACTTTGATAGTACCATACTTAGTATAACTTTGTAAAACTGGTCACGAATATTGCTGTTAGTTGAAGTTTTATTTTTTGTGCAGCCGAGTCAAAGTACAAGCAATATTTACAAGTTGTTACAGAAGCTGATTGTAATTTACAAAGAAAGGTGATAGAATTGAATTCGTATCAACTCCTCATCATGAGCGGCTCAACAATAGTTGCCGAAATTGACCCGAGAGGTGTGGACGAAGTGTTGCCTGCAATTCCGAATGCAAGTTCGTTGTTATTTCATACTGGTAACATCATCAACCGGGGATTTGTCTACAGAAGGTCACCAACCGTCACAGAAGAGGTATCTAAATTTTCAATGGGATATATTTTTTCGAGGTTGTTTCTTCTGCCTCTAAAATTTGGCATTGGCTTTTTGTCTGTGACGCATAATTACATGATTTTAGCCAATCTGCAGGCTTTATTCTACAAAACTGAGGAACATATTTTTTGTGGGCAGGGCAGATTTAGGATTTTTTTGAGGGGTTGGCCGGTTTCGAAGTTTTTGTCGACCAAATTGATTTTCCGAGCTCTCGCAAATCTTTATAAGACCCTAATTTAATCAGCCACAGGCAAATTTTTTGAAAAACAGGCCAAAAAAGGCGTTTTGGCTCGCGCTCCCCTCCAGCTTAGTATAATTTGGCGCTAAGGGCGCCTGTAGAAAGTTTTAAGGTCGGTCAGCCGAAATGGGATGTCTTAAAATAGTACCAAAGGGGGACCCGTTGGGTAGTCAAGGCGTCGAATCCCTGAAATGGGAGGGAGTCCGCCCCCTCCCTCTTAAGTCCGCTACTGTTTGTGGGTATAATAGCGAAAGTCGAAAGTAGCCGAAAACTGCATTCCTGAAAATAAGAATCTGCGGTTTTTACAAAAGGGTTGATTTTACAGGCATTCTTACAATTCGGGCATTTTTGAGAGAACTGGCGAAAAATAATAAGTTTTTTGTTGTGATGAGTAACCCTCTTTTTCTTTTTAATTTTTCGTTCCGGATTTGCAATAAAGTGTGGTTGTTCTATGCAGATCAAACTGACGTGCGCAAAAACTCTGGGTAAATGGCTGGCTTCAATCAACAAACATGAGACTAAAGTAAGTGCTCTCATGTCTTCCCTTTCAGTTATCTGATTTTCAAATGTGGGTACTTAAATGAACATCTGTAATCCATTTCTTCTTTTGTAGCACCTGTCTGCAGTGGACATGGACTACAGTCAGATCACGAATGTCAGTGGAATAACCGAGGACAGACAGAACCTCAAGGTCACAGGTGAGACTTAATCAAGACATAGGCTGAAATGACAGCCCCAATTTCAGTGTAGTAAGCTGGTGCGAACAAGGAATAAGAAACGTTAAAAGATGATATGTGTGATCGTGATCGCTAGTACTGGACTAGATAATCTAAGGACTAACTCGAGTCATATTATACTAATGCTAACTTTCTCCTGGTATAAAAGCTTAGATCTTGTTTCGATGCGGAGAAATTGTTTTAACCTTCAGCAATATAAACTGTTGAACTCTTTTCAGTATAGATGATCAAAAATTAGCTATTTATTCTAGAAACTAGCAGCTAGAAGATTCTTTGTGGTATCGATATTTAAAGGGTAGTATTTGTTTCAGTAAAGCTCTTTGTAGTGAGCGCTGGAGCAGAGTGTGTGAAAGAAGCCTTAAACATAGGTGAGTTCGATGTTCTTGACCAATCAAACTTATATAACTGTCAGGCAAAACATTGCCATACTTTAAGGGATGGATTTTAAACCGACTATTTTAAAATTTCGTGGCAAATACGAGCGAGCAAAATGGATTTAAAATAAAATCACTGCGGTTGCAAAAAGTCAATGAATTTTTTCTAAAAATTAGTTATGAATGGAAAATTAACAAGGAAAGTTATTTGATGTCCGCTTTGAAAAATTTTCAGTTGGAAGTAAACTGGGAACTGGTCACGTGGAAACCCTGATTCTCTCCTTGCCCGGAAGTTCTCATGGAACCAATTTGACCTACAACGGGGGCCAATCGGGACCAGCGGTGGGTCCATTTTGGGAGGCGGCAGAGAGTGTGTTTCGACACCAGTTCAACGATCTAGCACATCACTCTCAGTGCTGCGTCTCTAACGAAGCAGGTGGTTAGTAACATTCCAAGCTTTACAGAGATTGAGGTTCTGATACTATCGATTTTAATTTCAGTCAAGCAACCAGGAATCAATAGGATGCCAGCTTAGTTTTTAGTTTGGAATTAGCCAAATGACATCCTAGAAAAGATTAGCGATGAAAGTTGTTTATTTAAATTTTCAAAAGCTGCATTTTTTACTCTGCTTTCATTTTAAAAAGTCTATTTTCACAGTAGTGCTGTTATTACAGCTATTACTCAAGCGAAGCTTAGTGTGGCAGTACGAAGCAATTTTTTTTCAATCTAGGTCGCAAATAAAAGTGCCACTTTTTGTGGCCCTTTATAAAGTGCATCTTTTGTGCTGCTTCTAAATGAACATCAAAAGTCAACGATCTTGTTAAAAGTCAACGACCTGTAGCATTGGAAGTTTAATAGCATCTGCTCTTTGCTTTATTTGTAACTGGTGTTTGTGATTTATTAAGCGTCCGCGTCTGAGTAGTTAGTGCGTGAGATCTCTAGGTCGCAGATCGAGTTCGAGACTTGGCAACATGTATATTTGGCGGTTACATGACAAAAGATCCCTTACCTTAAGATCCCAAACGAGAAGATCCCAGTCAATAAGATACCATTCCAAAAGATACCTCGTTCTAAAATCGCCCACGACATAAGATACCATAATAAAATAACAAAGAACCTGAGAATTGAAAATAAAGCGGTTAATCGATCAAAGCAAAAACAAAGCGTCGGTTAAAATCAAAGAAACGGCAAAAATTTTGCTGCACAAATTTCGAACATAAATGACCTTGCTAATCACTTGGCCTTTAAAATGAAACTCAAACTTCAAAACAGCTTAGACTATAAATGAACTTGAAAAGGATTTCCAATTAATCAAAACCAACTTTGCTAAAAATGGCCTGATTTTCCAGACAATTCAAGTCGGTACAAAATTGAAATTGAGTTTTTGCAAAATTCTAAAGCTTTGAAATCATTTTCATTACGAATCACGTGCCATTCTATTTGATAAAAAATGTCAATTCTCAAATTTGATCAACTTTTTTTTCGCTAGGCGCAATACTCAAAGGGCCGTCAGGCCCCTACCCTCAATCTAGCCTCCCGTAAATAAGAGCAATTGCTCTGGGATCAAATAGCTAGAGACAGCATTTTCGAATGCGAGTCGTAGTATTGCGTTTCGGCGTTCTCCAGGAGGGTGCAAGGAGACGTCTATAAAAAAGTTGATCAAACAATTTTAAATTTAGGAAAAATTAGGCAAAAACTATAACAAATTTTAATAAGTTAAATGGGCAAGTGAACGGATATAAGACAATAAGTTAGAGTCTGTGTATGAACTTGTTATCTGTTAAACTTTTTCATTCAGATCACAGTACTTTTTCCGGGATAAGTTGATAATGCCGCTGGATGCCTTCAAAATGTTGAACTTTTGATTGTAGGAATCCAGTTGAATTTTTTCGAGAAACGTATGTATTGAAGGATGGCTGCCTTGAAACAAAGCGGTTACACCAAGATGCCACCCTTCAACTGCATTTGTGGTTCGGGCTAGACCACACACAGCATTTTGATAATGGTTCCAAAGAGAAAGAGGAAAAAGTGTTATTCGGCCAAACAAATCCCCTCTAATGTACGTTTTTTGGAAATAAGCAGTGAGCTCGTCTAATTTTTCGAGATCGTTTTGTGAAATATCCAGTTTGGTTGCCACACTGCATATTTCCTCAATGACTAGGTCAAACACGATTTCCACTTTTGACTCCGGAACAAAACTAAGCGCAGGAATCATATTCAGCGCTAAAACTAGCTCGCTGTTTGATTCGTACGTCTTTTTAAGGCCCAATTCGGATATTTTTCGCATAAAGCTCTGACAGAGGTGAAAATAGCATCCCTTAATGTCAGTTTCGTAATGAGAGGTAAAAGCACTCAGAGCCGCAATTTCAAAGTCGATCAAAATTCTTTCCGGGGTTACGTCACCGATAAGCGATTTGAGTGCGGATAGGAATTTGTTATAGGTTGATAAGCGCTTATTGCGAAGCAGAGCGTAGACGCAAGGTGGATAAAACCCGCCAATCTGGATGTGTACAGTGTACAGCTGGTAAAACTGACTGGGGCAAATTTTGAAAGTACCGTCTACAAGCCAGGTTTTGTTGTACAATTTAAGTGCTTTGAGGTTCTCAAGGTCGCCAAAAATTAATATGCGTTCCGTATCTTGTTTTCCGCTATCAAAAAGGCAAAATTGCTTAAAACGATCGGGTGTTTCGAAATGGCGGTCATCTGTGGCAATAGTGGGCAGGGATGTTGTTTGTTTATTTCTGTTTAAAGTTCGCGTTAGCGCCGACCGGGAGGGCAAAGACAGTTGGGTTGCTTTTTCGTCCTGCACCAATTGCAAACTAGCTGCGATTATCTGGCTGTTTACTGGATTTAATTGACTCCTAACTGTCTCCTTCATTTGTTGAACTAGTTGCCGAGCTTCTGAGCGTCCTGCGTTGAGCTCATGACTATGCTCGTTGCTCTGTGAGATTATATCGCTCCCAGAAGTGATTAAAGTTTTCGGGCATTTATACGATCTCCATTTGCTGCAGCGCCAGTGTGTCGTTGTCTTCGTATCGCGTTCCTTTTGAAATTCATGGCCATCAAGAATAATCAGAGTTTGGCCTTTTTGTGAGGTTCCCCAAGTAAAAGAATTCATTTTTGACTTATCAATGAGTTAAAGAGGGAGATAATGAATGCAGAGTGTATACATTTTCAATTAAGTTGTTCTAATTCAATGCCATATTAACACTAAATTAAACACATGTTGGCACTATGTTAATCCCAAAAATGAGTCCAGTTTAAATTAAGTTATGTTAAATTTTCATTGTTTTTAAATAGCGCAAACCTAATTGAGGTATCATTACTCTAGATTTATTTCTGCTTACACTTTGATCATGATTTTTGTTCATAATTCATGGGATCTTTTTAATTGGCATGGGATTTTATGGTATGGGCGATTTTTATACAAGGGATCTTTTGTCATGGGAGCTTTTGGTATGGTATCTTTTGTCCTGACACCATATTTGGCAACAATTTTCCTCGAAAAATGAAAAGAAAATTTAAAAAAAAATCAAATTTTTTTCTGAAAACGTTCTCTGAAAAAATTTCGAAAATTAGTTTTGCCAGGTAAAGCAAAATTTTTCTGGTTTTAGACTAAGATTCAGACTATTATGAACCTACTATGCGACCTCGCTCGCTTTACTCGCTCGAAATGAGACTAATGCTCAAAGGTTCTTATTATTGTTCGAATCGCGATTGAATGGGCTTGAATTTGATATCACTCGAATCATTCCGATGATTAATTGAGTTACCTGATTTTCATTTCAAACAAAAATTTAAAACACGACCGAATAGAATATAAAATTCCTCACCACTTTCAGTGGCCGGAACGATAATTTATCCTGTCACCTACTTTGTCAGCCTTACATGTTGTTGTCTCATTTAGATGTGAATCACTCGGAAGAAGTAGTGAATTCCGAGACCAGCAATACTAGCAGAAGTCGCAGTTCGAGAGGAGGAGCGGGTGACGTGTTCATATCCTGGACTCTTGGTCTGTCCGACCTCAATGCGGCGTCACTCAGAGACCTACATGATCACGCTCAGACGGTAATTTGACTTATTTTTGCCGGAGGACGGATCAAATGTTTTACTTCAATGTTAGTTATCGGGTTTTAAATGATATTCAATTGCAAGCGGGGTTATTATTGGGCGGGGGGTTCAACAGTGCCGAAGCACAACATTGTCGAAACGGAAAAAGTGTTCATCAGTGCCGAAACTGATGTTTTTCGGCACTGTTGAACGTTTGATTTTTCGGCACTGTTTTCCTTTGGCCTTGTTGTACTACACCTAGAGGGGCGTTCTCACTGCCAAAAATAACAGTGCTGAAAAATAATATTGTCAATAGTGCCGAAAACCATCATTTTTTGGCACTGTTGAGCAACCTTTTTTTTTTGGGGGGGGGGGGGGGGTGTGGTACTGCCCTATTGAGGGTGAAAACAGATGGGATGTTATTTAGTGGTTATATCATATGGGGAGCATAAAAAACGACAAGGAATTGCATTGCCGAGATGTTTACACAAGCTTAATTTCATCCACAATTTACAAAAACGGAGCGTAGTGTGATATGATAGTACGAAGCAACTTGTTTTCCAAGTAAGTCTAATTTTGCTAATGATTGTGCTGCTTTTGGTGAAACAGGTTGAACTCTTGAATGCGCAAAATTGTCTCGCTGGTTCTTTGATCACTTTTTCAATCAGGAGGCCGGCTTCATTGGCACAAAAATACCATGTCCTTTGACATTAGATTTTTAATGAGGTAACACAGCTCTGCTTTTTCAATTCACAATTTTAAACAAAAATAGCTTTTTGTTGCAACAGTACAATAATATAAATCACTTTTCGGAAACTTTCCAACTCCAAGTTTACCAGCGAAATTTTTGAAAGGCCTAGCTTATAAAAAATTTGGTTGTTTCAGTTTCAAATTAATTGTATGCAAAGTTTGTCTGGTTGCTTTAAGTTTGTTGTTCCAGAATATTTAAGTAACGGAATATTTGTGCTCGGGGTGGTTTTTTTCGACTTTTTAGCGAGCCATTTTTGATGGAATTTTTCAATATCATTCAAAAGTTATTTTTGCCTTAAGCTTAAATTTGAAAAGATATTCCACCTGTGATCATTTTTCGTAAAGTTATGGGGGTTTAAAGATTGCCATTTTGGCCAATTTGGGTCAATTAACGCGCGATATATTTCGCGCTATTAACGCGTTAGCGGAGATTTAATCGTCTTAGAAATCGTTCCAATTTGGTTGAAGCAAGCTTATTTGCAATAATTGCTTTGTTACTAGGAGCGAAATCTATCTCTTAGTATTTTATACTTCAAATTTTGTTTTTTTTTCATTTTGCTTTATGATTAAATTTATTTTTTTCTTGTTATTACTGCTCCATAGACCTTAAAAGGCCGTCGGAACTTTCAGGGCTTTGCCTTGATACGAGCAGTCTTGTTACTTTCCAAATTATTATATGCAAAATTTATGTTAAATGCTTTTTAAAACTAACGAATCTTTGCCGCGTTCTCGATTGTGTTTGCAAAGCTGCAGCTTCAGCTCTGGATTAAACTGTGAATTTTTGCATCAGTTTCACTAAAGGCAATGGTAAATAATAATTTGGGTGCTAAGATTTTGTTTCGAGAATTTCAAAAACGTTTCAGACAAATTTTTTTTCAGATCTGAATTTCGAATCTAATTCTTGTTACTTTCTTCATATTTTAGCTATTCCTACTTAGTCGTTATGCGCCATTAACGAATACAATCTCATCTCAAAAACAAAAAAAAACAGAACAACCAAAAAAAAATCAAAATTTGAAAAAAAAACTTTCTCGCCATATTTTAGTTTTAGTTCAAAAAAATTCGCGACGTCGAATAAATTTGGGATCAACCGTACGTTATGCCCCAATCCGATTAAGGGGGATCTGAGTTTTCCAGGAATTATTTTTGAGTTTAGTCTAGATTTAAACTAAATTAAGAGTTTTAACTAGAATAATTCATTGATTGATAATTCATTAATTTAATGTATAACAGCAAGTAAACACAATCCTAAATAAAATTGCAAAAGCTAATTTCATTTATGCGTTTGTTCGAAAGGCATACTATATACAAAACTAATTTTCAAAATTAATATGCTAATATGGGGAGGACATTTTACGGTTGGTCACCTAAAGAGGGAGATTGTACGCTTGATCCTAATTCTGTGCTGCTTGCATTGCAATCGACTGTTGTCAACGTTTTTTTTTTTGTGTCTGGCCTTGTTGTTAAAATAGAGTGAAATAATGCATTTTGAGCTCCCATTAAAAGCCTCTGTGAAAACAATTTTCAACTAATAGAACCACTATGTAAAAGTTTTGTTTTGCCTTGTTTCTAAGTGCCTCTGTGAAAATGTTGCAACATCATCTAATGTTGTGCATGATGTTTTATCTAGGAAAAGCCCTCGTTGGACCAGATCAACATGGACGTGTGCTGCTCTCCTCCGGAAGACCTGGTGGCCCTCTGTAACGAGAGAGACATCCAACTGTTGACCCACAATGACCCCCGCGAGATACTGAGTGGACAGGAGATGCACGAGATACTCTCCAGCCACCTATCTCACCACAAGGATCTGGTCGGGTGGCAGGTGACAGATTTTGTTTCAACATTTTGTGTAATCTGTAATTTGTTAACTTAGATCAAATCGGCACAAATGATAGTTCCACACTCTGATAACTACTTTTTTTCATTTTGTGATGCAGTCTTGCTAGTAAATCATACTAAGGTTCTTAAAAAGGCTCAAGTTCTGAAATTTTTTTAGCATTACACATTTCAAGGCAAGTCAGCGTCGTTCGAGCTGTAAGTTTTGCAAACGTTTTCCAGCTTAATTATTGTTTATTTCTCAAGGTTGGCTGGGTGCTTCGATATTCGGGTCTGGTCAAATGCAGGGGTATTATCCACACCAAAGGATACATTGTGAAACTTATCAGGAACACACAAGGCTACAACTTCAGTCCACAATAGCGTACAGGCAATGAAGCTTATGAGGTTTTAAAATATGAGCTTAACATTGCAGTAAATATTCTGTTCCGATCCAAAATTATGTGAAGAAATGGTAGAAGCTGCATTACAAATATCTCTGTGAAGGTTTTCTACGTTGTGAAAAAAATGATACTACTGAAACACACAAACTGTTTTTGAAGTGTAGATAAATGCTGTCGCGACATTTAACTTATAGTTTGTGATATCCTCCGATCTTTTCGAAGATTTCTGGCTTGAATGTTCATTTTTACTGGCTGAATGGGATAAATGTCGCGATATTTGGTGTCGAAGCTGCTCAACCAGGAAAAAGTTCTGTATTGATTGCCTTTTCTTCATTGTTAAATTTGATAATCATCGAAAAAACTATAAATTGAGTGTATATATATATATATATATAGATTGTTCGAAAGTAAAAGTTTTCTAGTTTTATGAACCGTTGTTTGCCCAAAATCTATGGAAAGCACTGAGCTTTGCCTTTTTCCGTCGAAAAACACGACGATTTTTATTTTCCCGAGCGCGAATAATTAAATTGGTCATCTATCGTACGTAGAAATATGACTGTTAATTTTCAGCTACCCTGAATTCTGTAATTGGTTTTCTTGCTTTTCCAATGTGAAAATAAATTGTTTTATTTTCTGCAAATAAAAATTGTTTAAACTGTTTTTACATCGTAGCAAACTGGAAAGAGTTACAAAAGGGTCATTTTTCTATAGCAATCAAGAGTGGCTAGTTTTCGAAGAAGCATCGACTGACATCTCTACTCACCTGCCTTCTTGAGGAATGGAAGTAAAAACGTACTATGTTTTTGTGTACCAAAAATATGTTCATGCAATATACAATAACCGGGTACTTGGCTTTATCTTGTTTTGCTAACATGAATGGCCTCGTTTTCTTCAGATAACTATTTCCACAAAAAAGGGTGGGTAACAATTTCAATCTTACAAATAGAAGTTGGGTAACGTTTTCTCTAATTAAGTTGAGGAATAGGTTTCGTATAGCACGGACAATTCAACCGTAGGGTCTCTCTGAATGTCTTTGGCTGAAACTTCACCCATCTCAAAGGAAATTGAAAGCAGAGCTAAATTGAGACTTCTTATTGGGCTAACGGTACAAAAAATTAAGATTCAGATAACAAATTGAGCATAAAGAGGAGCATTTAATTTATTCGAATCGAGCACTAAATCAAGTAATGAAAACAAGCAAATGAGAATCGTTAATGCGCACTTTTTTTTCATACAAACTTAAGCAGGGGAGGATTTAAGGGCGAGCCGACGCCCATCTAATCAAGGATTAGACCCCCTCACTACCCAAAGGGCCCCCCTTTTAAAGTTTTTTACAGCATCCATTTTCAGCCGAACAACCCTAAAATGTCTCATTCGTATTTTTTAAATGAGTTTTTTCAATTTTTTTTGTTGTGCTTCAAGTTCCGTTCATTTGGAGCTGAATGCCTAATAACTCTTTAAAATTTTTCGTTCATACACATCGTCTCTGAAGTCGGCTGAATCAATGCAAATATCTGGCTGATCTTTCTCCGTGTCCGACCCACCGCTCACTTTAGACGGCAGCTTAAGTTACTAGCGCTTAGCACGCTGCATGCACATTATTGATTAACTCAAGTGTCTCAACCTGCACAAAAAAATAAAACTGAACAGGTTGAAGCCCCTGCTTGTCGGCTCAATTTTCTGTTGCTCATAAACGGTGGCTGTTTAATTGAGAAATTTAAGTGCGCATAATGTTTGATTGTGATAAAAATTGGCATTGGGGCATATTAATTGGCTTATAACTTCATTTAGGCGGTTATTTTTAATGTTTTAATTCCAATCAATGCGCCAAAAATTTAGGGACTATGCGAGTGATTGAATGAAAAAAAAACCAAAGCCCGCAACCTTCAGCGAGCGTTAAGTTTGTGCTTAATCTTAGCTAATAACATTCAAATCATGAGTCAGTTTCAAATATTGGTTCAACGCTTTCAACTCGCATCGGGATAAAAAGTGGCTAGATTGCGCTAAGCAGCGAAACTGCTCGGCATCACTAGCTTATTTTTAATGCTCTCAAAACTGATCATTGTAAATCATCGGACCTTTTTTTCTCACCTGCTATAAAATAACAAGTACTTCATAAGCATCAACGATAATAACTGATGTGAACAGCTTTATAGTGATCGTTGAGCCGAAATACAGAACGATTTCCACATAAGGGAAGGGTCCTTCGTTTTTGTTTTGAAAAATGCGGACTAACTTTGTATTCTGGTGTTTAAGTGTATGTTTCCACGCAACATCAAGTACCAAAAATACTCATTGGAACAGGCGGAGTGATATATTATTCTAAAATCCTTTCGGTCGTAATTCGAACGACATTAAAAAGTTTCGAAGAAAATTCTTAGTTTCGGGAAAAAACGGTTTGCAATGTTTGACTTTTGGTCCAATTCCGATCTAATTAGGTGAGCGAGCGGGCTCACAAGAGGTTATTTAAGTTTAACCGTAAAAACTTAGTTACTCGAGTAAAGTTATTTCTTGGAGTTTTTAACGACAATATGGGAATCTTTGAAATTTTGTTGTTTTTCTAGTCATTTTTCTATAAAAAAACTGTTTACCACATAGCCAATTTTAGTATGACTCTAGAAAATGCTTAAGCTCTTGTTTTGTTCAGATTTTTTTGTCACTCTTTGCAGAAAAAAACGACAAAAATTGATTTTTCTCATAGACTGGTAGGAACATTCTGTGCTACTTGCACAGTAGTAACCTGCTGTCCTTGTTGCCTTATGCACTTAGTCATTTATTAGTAAGCGTACAATCTGTTCAAAGTATAACAAAGATATCTTTCGTGAGATTCACTTTGTCACGGGGCATTCGAGGCTGTTCTAGTCTAACTTAACCAGCTCTTCCATGTTAAACGATTTGTTCAAAAACAAATTATGCGCGGCTAAAAAAAAACTTAAGAATCACTAGTTTTCGATTTTTAATTTTGGGGTTTGATACAATTAGGGTTAAAACATAATTAAGTTTTTTTTTTTTTGGCATCAGGTTTGAGTTGAATATTTAAGGTATCAACAAAGAACCTTTCAGTTTTTACCTGAAAAATCCATGTTTTACTTAGTTTGATCAAAATGTTTTTAAAATTTTTTTTGAAAGACAAAGAAATGTTCAAAAAACAACAATTATCAAGACTGAACTTTTTTATGCCCTGTTCCTTAGGCTAAATTCCACAATTGCTCTGAAACAACTAAAAACACGTTCTACCAAGTACACTGTTTTTTTTTGCTTCGGTTAAAATATGCAAAGGATGTTAACTTTTTGCTTGCTAAAAATACAGTATACTTTAGTCATACTGTATTTAATCATACAGTACATTGGTCAATTAATGTTGAGATAAAAAACACCAGGGGATAAAACAATACACTGAAAACATTTTGCAGCCCTTGGAAATTTGAGTTTGCGTTAAGCAAAGCATTACCTGGTACTTTGTAAGATCTTACTGGATTATAGGTATTCTATAAACCTTTGTGCTACAATTATCCAGGCGGATGTTGGTTAACCAGTTGAAAGAACTCTGATATTGATACAAAAGTCCATTAAAAAGCAGCTTTATCATGTTTTTTTTGCAAAAAAAAAACTTCGCAAAATTGACGCTTTTTTTGACAGTTCGTTTGAAACGGCGTATTATCTAATCTCAATGTTTTAGCACTGCCAAAATTAAATTTTCCAAAAAAACGGGACTCTGCAAAAATGCTCTTTATGAATTTATGAACTTTGAGGATGGGCGAACTTCAAATTTAGATAAAAAAGTCAGTGAAAATCTCTAAGGCCTCTTGGCGCTAACAACTCGATATAAATGAAAATGCCTGATTGATCGATGCAATTAAAAGAATGGAGTGCTTTACAGAAAGAATGGAAGTTTAGTAAAAATGGCTCGATATTGAACAACTGAAAGATGAAGTGAGATGCGGAACTGGACTTTTGGTCTTGTAACGCGCTTCGCGTTTCGCCTTATTTTTCCAGTTTCTTGAGATTTTGACAAACATACTTTAGATAGCATTCCATCATTTTCGCCAGGAGATAAATATTCCAGGTCATTTGTGATCCAAGCGTAAGTGTTCAATAATATTTTCACCAGAGGTAAGTTTTCTTATCTACTGTCTACAGAAAATTGTTCGAATGTTGACCCTCACTGCGTCATACGTTTTTGAGGCTTATTCTTAAGTACAATGTTTTTCTTGCAAACTTGCAATACCCCGCACAAAACTTTTCAAACTGAAGCAAAACAATTTGTGTTTCTGAGCTTTCAATTTATATGAGCAAGAAATCGAAAGGATACATTATCACCTGAGAAACGCAGATGGCTTAATTCTCCTTCTCCCTTCTTTTAAAGCTATTGGTTTGATTTGCTTCTGTCATCATAAGGAACGAATAATTTTTTCCTCCTTGATAATATTTTTTATTTACAAAGAATATACACTACTGATGTGATTAACAGTTATCAATCAGAGAATTCTGCAGCCATCGTTGTTGCTGTTGTTGGTGCCGCCGCTTTGGAATGACGGCAAAGTGTTTGTCCTGGAAAATCGCAAGTTGTTTGAATATGCGTTGCTTATAGAGGCTGTTGCAGGCCTCAAGTTCCTTGTATTCGACCGTGCATAATTATCTGGGTCAACAACCTTTTCGTTCCTCATTTTGAGACATATCCCATAAGGTCGAATATATTCAGGCTCGTTGACTATGCGGAAGTCGGGCTTGGTAGTCGGAATTCGTGTTTTTTCAGGTTTTATTCTCACCTAAAAGATGAAGTATTTGTTTTCATTTAAAAGTTGTACTCATGTATTTTTCATTCTAATTGTCACTGTACTCAACCAAATATCATAAATAAAAGCACTGGAAATTGCACTCAATTTGAAATGTGGAAACCTGAAGGATGCATTTGTGATAACTGGGTGCATAATTTGCGTATCCTCCTTCGCTGATTTGAATTTTAGCCCCAAAATAGGCGCCTTTTCCACATGGTTGCCCTCTTTGGTCACTCAATTCATTTATATCCTCTCTCATTTCGTGTACTTGTCCTTTTCCAGAGGTCAGAAAAATCCTAGATTGGGCAATTGCTCTTGTGCCATCCTGGTCGCTTCCATGGAAACCTACAGCCCATTCACGCGGGTTCCCATTCATCATCAGCCAGTCATCATTACCATCGTCATATCTTCCTTTAACGCGCAGGCCTAACCTGATCCAGTTTGAATTGGGTTGATAATAAGGCATTCCACCTCGTTTTTGTTCCTCTCCATTCTCGTTTGGGAACCTGAAGTCCCCTGCTGTATCGAAGTCCTCTTTTTTAAGCGCCAATAAATGGATCAGATTTCTTTCTTTCTGCAGATCTGAATCTAAATCAACGTTAACTTTTCAAAACTTTCTTACAATTCAATTCTTGATAATTTTGAAGAATTTTGGATAAATTCGAAGGAAAACAAGTTTGTGCTTAATACTCTTGTAGTTGAAAAACTTGCCATCCCAGTCTTGCACGAATGCCGCAACGAAGTCATCCACACTGCTCGGTCGAGGTGAATTTTGATCAACCAGCAAGAAATCCCCACCTAAATCAGTCTCAGTTTTTCAAAATAATCAAATTTGATTTTTGTCTTATACGGCTCAAAAACTGTGATAGTTTTGCTACTTT